TTCTAACACCCGAAGTGCTCTCCCTCCCCCGGGCGGGGAAAAAAAGTCCAGGTGTGTCGGTTCTAACATCCGAAGTCCTCTCCCTCCCCCGGGCAGGGGGAAAAAGGCCAGGTGTGTCGGTTCTAACACCCGAAGTCCTCCCCCTCCCCAGGGCAAGGGGGAAAAGGCCAGGTGTGTCGGTTCTGACATCCGAAGTCCTCTCCCTCCCCCCGGACAGGGGACAAAAGTCCAGGTGTGTCGGTTCTGACATCCGAAGTCCTCTCTCCTGAGCGGAGAAATCAAATGCAAAACTAAAAAAAAAAAAACTAAAAAAAACATGTCACATCTACTCTTAATACAAAAGGGCTATGAAACCAAGAAAGATGTTACAGATTTTATGAATGGTGTAACCAGGGGGAAATGTAATTTTAGTAAAGGAACACATTTCAAAGAGGGGGAAGAAAAATCTGAGTTTTGAAACAAGTAACAGTAAAGGGGTTACAATATTCATAAAAATAATCTAAGCTATGAACTAATTAACTCTATTTATGATAACGAGAGAAGATTTGTAAGTATCAGCATTGAAATAAATGAGCATACACATACCGTAGCAAAGGCATTCCCACAAACGATAGACAGATAGAAATACAGTCTTCTAAATGTATTGAAGAATTTGGCCAAAGACTTGTAATAATCATCCTCGATACTCCATGGGTTACGCTCTCTACACACATGGAATATGTGAATGCTCGGTGTGCCACCTCATTGATGAGACAATAAGTGTTCGATCCTTTGATGTACATCACAAGAATCTCACGGTCACGTAACTGTAAAAATTGACAGGCTTTGAAGTCGGGCGTCTCTCCTTTGTAATCTTCAAAGGACAGGTATCAGCCTAGCGATTGGTCAGTTTTTTTTCCTGAGACCAATCAAACAGTTTTTTTCGTGCCTTCAGTTTTGCTATTACATATTCCGGGGGTGTAGAGAGTGAAAGTGAGCGTAAGCCCGGGATATCGAGGATGGTGGGTGAGACAAGAAGACTAGTTCGATCCTTTGATAAACATCAAAAGAATATTGCGGTCGCGTAACGGTAAAAGTGACTGGTTTTGAAATGGAGTGTCGCTCCTCTGAAAAAATAGCGTAAGTGAGCGTAACCCCTGGAGTATCGAGGATAGTAACAATAGGAGGAGACTGGAACGAAATTCAAACTCCAGAATTTAGAAAATCGTCTTATAAACTCCTGGAACCAGTACACAATATAAACACATTAAAAAAGACAGCGATCTTAATTATGTATGGCCAGGGACAGTATATATACGTCCCTGGTATGGCGTCTAGTAAATCCAAAGAAGAGTCCATTTACATTGCGACGGACTTCTATCTTATATCCCAGAAAATGATACCAAAAGTTATAAAACCTTATACACGACCAGCTATCATAAAAAAAAGTACAGACCATCAACTAGTATCTATATAATTAAATATACAACCTATCAACTGGGATCTAGGGTACTGGAAATCGAATAGCGACTAAAACTTGACCAGGCATATACACAACTGTAATAAAATCAGTAAAAAATGAATGGAAAGAAAACAAAACAAATATAAAGAAGATGTGGGATATGTGTAAGACTGAAATAAAGGGAATTGGAACGAACGATATGACGGGCTTTTCACAACAGGACCTTTTACCAGAGACGTATAATACATTATTATACGTCTCTGCTCTTTCGCCGTGGTACCTGCCAAATTGATTTGCCCCACACGTGATGGGTTCACAGAAGAAAAATATTATAAGTGATTATTTTTTTCGTTTAATACAAAGCAAACTACTAAAAATCCCATCCTCGATATACAGGGGTTACGCTCAGTGGCGGACCCAGGGGTGTTGCCCTAGTTGCCCGGGCAACACCATTTTTTCTGTGTCCAAAAATAATCTAGACCAAGATTGTTGAAGTTTTCCTCTATTTCATATGGGATTTCTTTCTAATATCAACCATCCCTTGAACTATGATTTTCTATGGCTTCCCCTGGCCAGCAGTTTGAATATCTATATATGCCTAAGGGTGTTGCCCAAACAAGGAGTCCACTTATACTCTAAACAATATGCGATTAATCCTCCATTGTATATATATTAATAGGGTCTCCAGTCAGGTCAGTGGTCAAGGCCAACCGTACTGACGCTACTTAATCTTATTGTTCTAATATCAAGGTATGGTGATCACCCTGTCAGTTGGGAGAAGACTATACCAAGTATTGGATTTAGGTATATAGGTCGTGTTATTTCAAAGGTAGAGTCTATTTCATGATAAATCGATATACCTGTATTTTTCACCTGTGGTTTTAAGTTTAAGTTTAAGTTTAAGTTTTATTTATTCACTCCGACACACTTACGTGTGTAACAAGAGGTCACATACATATAGTAAGTATGATACATGGCGTGTGATGTACACAATTACAACATTGTACATAGCATAGATACATATAGAAGTACACAAATAGTACAGAAATTAAGTTAATATTTTTTCAAGCTTTTCTATGAATTTACAAAGTTTTGTGTAAATTTTTACATTAAATATATTAAACAATCCTTGCATTTTTAATTGACTTGGATAAGTGAAATAATATTTTGGTATATATTTCTCTCTTAGACATTTAACTAAAACACTTTCACATATAAATAAGTAATGAAATTCATCTCCAATGTACAAATTACATAATGTACAGGTTCTTTCTTGACGAGGAATACCTAACCATCTTCCTTTTTCTATGGGTAAATGCATATTGCAAGAACGGAATTTACACATTATTTTCCTATCATTTGTATTAAGTTTAATTAAATATTTTTCTTGTTCAAACTTTGTCTTTAATATTGAATATGTTTGTCCTCTAGAGGAGTTAAGAATATTATCAAACCATTTCTGTATAAATTGATCCTTCAGTCTACTTTTCACAAGCCTCTTAATTTCGTCTTTTGAAAAAGAACATGTAGATTGATAGTACCACACATAGTTCAGGCCAGTTTGGATTTAGGTAAATAGGTAAAGTGTTATTTCAAAGGTAGAGTCTATTTCATGATAAATCGATATACCTGTATTTTTCACCTGTGGTTTTAAGTACACATGGTCATTAGGAGTGATTTATTATACCAATTAAAAATATAAATTTCAAAAATTTCAAAGACAATGAAGCAACCTCCTTAGCATCACTTTATCAGGTGAGTAATAACCAATGTTGGCATCAAAGCCTGGCGTGTACATCCTTTTCATTAGGTATTGCCCTTGTACATACGTATGCATACTATTTCACAATAAAAGACGAACAGTTAAATCTAACTCATATTTATGCCCTTATAACTAGTCGTCTGCAGAGGGTCCGGAACACTGCAGCACGGCTAGTTACTCGAACTCGAAAGAGAGAGGTACATTACACCTGCGCTTTATTTGTTGCACTGGTTACCTGTACGATACAGGTCGCAGTACAAAATTCTGGTGTACACATACAAGGCACTGAATGGAACAGCTCCTCAGAACCTACAGGAGCTTGTAACCCTGTATCAGCCGTCACGATCACTGCGGTCGGAGTCAGAATCTTTGTTGTGTGTCCCAAAATCTCGTACTGTGACCTACGGAAACAAATGCTTTGGAGGGTTTCGGCTACGTTGTGGAATAGCTTACCATCTGCTATTAAAAAGGCAAATACACTGGCCAAGTTCAAGAGGGACATCAAAACTCACCTCTTCACGTCTGAATTTTAGAATTCTTGCAAAGACCACCCTTATATTTATTCAAGTATGTGCACATTGCTTGCTTAAATGTATAAAAGTGATTGTAAGCCTTTGTTTGTTTGTTTTCACAATTATAACCATTACTATTATCCATATGTCAAGTTGTAAAGCGCGTTAGAGTAATTTTACAAATTATATACGGCGCTATATAAATTTTTTATATTATTATTATTATAAACTTTGAAAAGTGACCATTTTAAGGGCCTGACACGCAAACATCAACATTTTAACCAAAAATCTACATTTTAACCATTTTTTTTTAACAGAAATTATTAACACTCGCTCCGCTCGGCCATCATGAAATATAAATACTCTATCTTACGTTATAAAATATAACCTTGAATAATACCGCAAACTCAGAAAACGATTCTATGGAGGATCATTCGATCTGTTTGTCAATGGAAATAATGTGCGATAAATTCTTGCTTTCTGCGCTCGGCAGAACTTGAAATAGCTTAGAATTACATCTTCAGAAAAAAATGCCGTCGCTCCGCTCGATTAAGGTAAAAGAAAATATGTTTGTTTCAGGTAACCCGACGATCCTAGTTTTCACCTCCGACTCTTCAATAAGTTTAAAATCGTCCAAATTTGAACGTGGTAAAAATTGTAAGCGTCTTTATGACATCTTTCTACTTCATAGATAGGTATAAAAACCAAATTTAAATGCCATATTAAAATTTGAAAAACTATACAAATATTTCTAATGTAAAAAAAAAAAGAAGGAACACGATTGGTCAAAATAATGCTTTTTTTTGTAATTTCTTGAATTATCAAAAATAAAGAATAAAAATCCCTAGGCCTACCGACCTACCCTATCTTTTTTATGTCATGTTAGGCCTACCTGAAACCACGGACTTTATCTAATTCCGTGCTGAAACATACACATCTACTTTTTTAGCATTTAATCAGAGACTTATATTACAATATATACGTCTCTGATTTAATTAGCTATAAAAGTAAGGCAATCTCTCAACCCTTACTATATAATTAGATACCAGAGGTTTAGGCGACTGACGTGACCTTTAAATATTAGTGGAAGTTCGACTTAAAGTCATTCCTATTTAAACTGATGGTTTTTAATCGTAATCATATTTCAAGATTAAAATTATTGTTATTTGTCAGGGAACAAACTCCGCTCAGCGTGAAAGTGTTGAGCGAGGTGCCAATGTCTTCTGAATGGGAAAACATTTTGACCAATCAGATTTCTCTTTACATTCGTGCTCCGACACAATTTCCGATACAAATGAAAATGGCGGATATTCAAAAGAAGAAATTCCCCAACACTATCAACATTATGATTGCGTCATGAAACCAGGCAAGTTATTGAGTTTATGGGTCAACTGTATCTTTTGAAATGATCTGTGAAGAACTTTCTATAAACACATGGCATATCCCGTCAACTTAACAAGGCTAGCACAGTTCCCTACTTCATCGATTGGAAAGTGCACTGTATGTGCAGTAAACAGTGCGAGTTGATCAGTTGAAAATGCGCGCGTCAAGTTGTGAAGGTGTTAGATACTCGTTTCTTAACTTATGTTTATTTTCTTGTGTATGTAGAACATGAAAATTGGAGGGATTTGTTTTATTCTTCAAGATGTCAGAGTGAAGACAAAGCCTATTATTAGACCTACGATATACAGAGTTATAATATAGATTGCCTTGAGAAAGTCACAGTGACTTAAGATGGATTAACTTTAAATCCGGGAACTGTACAGTTCAGTCATTATATATGAATCTGGGCAGTATTTCTGTGTTACTGTTTATCTTAATATGATGATAGATGGTACAAGAAAGCGTTCAAAATACACATTATGTGTGACACTAGCGAGTAATAAAAAGAGAGACGAAAACTTCATATTTAATCATTTATATAAGCAGCTCAAGCTTAATCACAAAATCATTCACAATTATTTCCTTCATTTCCTCCAGAAATGAAGAGTTACAGAAATAACGAACAATACACGTACAATTCAACACTATTGAAAGAGAAGAAAGAGCATTCACAATCATGGTCACACCCTTACATAGTGACACACACATTGCACATGGACCGACACACACATAAGAGAATAATAATAGTACCCCCCATCATACCATAAAGTACTATAAACACAACACAATGATATAATAGGTACTATTACAGTCATTATACGGTGATAATTATGATGATAGACAGTATAACACTAATCATACATTATATCACACATTGATATAATAGACATCTTTACACTCCTCAAACTACATTATCATATAATAGTATAGATAGTAATACACTTCTTGTACTAAGCAATCATACAACATTGTAATAAACAGTATTACAAGCATCACACTATAAATTATACAGCATTATTATAGACAGTATTACTGTTACATAAGTCTTACAATACAATCATACATTGAGTAGAACCCGTTGCACGAAGTCGTACAATATAGCCATACAGTGGTGTGAAATACACAACATACAATATGATAATTAACTTGAAGAAACAGAGCAACCATGCAATGATTTCAGTTGTAGTAATGCATCTCACAAGATTAATTCATACAATACAAACAATATTATGAATGGTAGTAAGTTGCACTAATCATGCAGTCCAATTGTGCAATGGTATAACAGGAAAGACTTAGGAAATGCTTGCCTACTAATATGAATACAGAAATATATGTATTTCATGTATTAATCTTGCTGAAGCGTGAGGTACACACAAGTAAATTTGTGATCATATTACTCTTAACCCTAAGGTGGCAGTACCCAAATCGAATCGGTACCCAAATCGGATCACTTTTTGCAAAAATACTTATAAATAAATAAATGTGTCAACAAATCAGTTATAACAATGATGTAGTCTTAGAATAGATAGCCATTCACTATTATTTGACTACAGATAATTAGTTTTTAAGTTCAAATAGTGCAAGAAAACGTAATTCAAACTCAAATGTCAATGTTTTGATTATGTTTTTAACTCAAAGATAAATTCATTAATAATTGGAGAAGCAATGTTTTCAATTCACCTAAAGGGACCAATTACGGAATTTAAAAAAAATGACATATAGTATTAGAAAAATACCTGCTAGATCTCCCTCCAAGACTAACAAATGTTTATTGTAAATTTAGAATTTGTAATGTTAAATTTCCGATTGAATGTGGTAGATGGAATAACATTCCAAGAGAAGATAGAAAATGTATTTTTTGTGACCTAAATGAAATTGGAGATGAATATCATTATTTGTTTAATTGTAATGATCATCAACTACTGCAAAACAGAAGAAAATGTATGTCGAGATATTATTTTGAAAGTCCTAGTACTATCAAGTTTAATACATGATTTAATTTTGTCAATAATGAAGAACTAATTTCACTTATAAAATTCCTTAAGCAAATATAATTGAGCGAATAAACACTGGCCATTAACACCATGATTCATATGTAAACTGTACTATATACATGTATATAATTCTCTACACTAACCAGTTTGCGAAAATAAAAACTTGTCATTGTCATTGGCAGTATTCATAGATAGATTGATTGATAGAATTTTGTCCAGTCTGTATTCCAAACGCCTGTCCTTGACATGACCAAGAGGATCACTACATCACGGTCAATGTAGCAGTGGAACTGTGTGTACACTTATAAATGCCATCAACTACAGTATAAAATGAATAAACTCCTTAGTATGACAGATTGACAGGTGGTGGATTAAATGCACTTATTTCAACATGTTTTTACTTTTATCAAGACAGAGAGACATGCTCCTCTATTAACATCAATGACATTACCGGAATGTGTAAGCATCTTTATGAAAATCCTTACAACATTGATATTTAATATCATAAAATTATGATAGTTATGTGTCTGATAAAGTCAAAGTACAATTTCTATGAAACAGTGATAAGCAGAACAGGATTGGATACCAGGCTTTAATGAATGTACCATAGAGATTGTTTTCAGCTCTCATAAGTACTAGTAAGATAACCATTGTAAGAGTATTCATCTTTTCTTTTCAGAAAAATCATGGATTCAAAATTGTCTACCAGTGATGACTTTTCTACATCTATAGAGGAGCACCATTTTCATCCTCTGGCTGCCTCAACAGCTGCCCGACAAGACAGGTAGCTTACTGACAGATCAACTACTTGGTTGTGATGAAATATAAATATCCTGAATTACAATAAAATGGACGGTGGTGAATTAGTATATAATATTCCACATTGACATAGATACTAGCCATCAACTTGATGGATTTACTGTAGGCAGCCATAACAGAACACATCGATGTATTCAGTTTAATACAATCAGCATTTCAATGTGGTCCATACATCAGAATTGTAACAGTTGTATTGTTATTAGCTCACCGGGTCCAAAGGACCAAGGTGAGCTTATGCCATACCGCGGCGTCCATCCGTCGTCCGTCAACAATTTCTTTAAACGACTTCTTCTTCTTAACCACGTATTGGAATTTAAGTAAATTTGACTGGAAGCATCCTTAGGTGGTGGGGATTCAAAATTGTACAAATGATGGGGCTGACCCCCCAAGGGGCTGGGCAATAAGGGGGCAATTTGGCTATATTGCTTTAAGCGACATCTTCTCTGGAACTAAGATTTGGATATCAACCATATTTAACTGGAAGCATCTCTAGGTGTTGTAGACTCAAAATTGTACAAATGGTTGGGCTGACCCCCCAGGGGGCTGAGGGGTGGGGCCAAAAGGGGGCATTTTGACTATATTGCTACAAACGACTTCTTCTGTAGAACTATGCACTGGATATCAATCATATTTAATCAAAAGCATTCATGGGAGGCAGGGATTCAAAATTGTACAAATGGTGGGGCTGACCCCCGTGGGGGCTGAGGGGCAGGGCCAAAAAGGGTTATTTAGCTATATTGCTTTAAGCGACAACTTCTCTGGAAGAGATAGATATCAACCATATTAGACTGGAAGCATCCCTAGGTGGTGGGGATTCAAAATTGTACAAATGGTGGGGCTGACCCCCCAGGGGGCTGAGGGCTGGGCCAAAAGGGGACAATTTGGCTATATAAAGTATATTGCTATTAACGACTTTTTCCGTAAAACTTCCGTAAAACATGAAAATTGATCAAATTTGGTCGGAAGCATTCATGGGAGGCAGGGATTTAAAATTGTACAAATGGTGGGGCTGGCCCCCCGGGCTAAGGGGTGGGGCCAATTTATTTTTATTTTACTTGGAAATGGTTGAGATCCCCACCATATAACCATATATGCAATTGCTGAGTATAACGAGAGGAATGCACATTTGCTTCCAGGATGGCCCTAGGGTCTGGCCCCACCCTTGGAGACTTAACCCCTGGGCATAACTTTGAAACGGTTAAGATCCCCACCCAAAAACTACATATACAATTGTTGGGCATAAAGAGACGAATGCAGTCATGATATTAGAATTGATCCTGGGGTCTGGCCACAACCCTAGGGACCTAGTTTCTGAGTCACAGCTTGGAAACAGTTCAGATCCCCACCCCATAACCATACATAAAATTACTGGGCATAAAAAATCAAATACAGATATGCTACAAGGATTGACCTTGAGGTCTGGCATATTCCCTTGGATCTCATTTGGAGAATATTTTGCCATCATTGCTTAGATATCCAGGTGAGCGATACAGGCCCTCTGGGCCTCTTGTTATTGATGGTCTTTGATATGACATATATTTGAGCTGACAGAGAAAAGAATGGTAAATGTGCCAGCAAGTCATTAGATGCAGTGATGTTCCTGATTGTATCAACAGTTTTATTTTCAAAGAATCATTTTGGTACATTAGAACTCCTGTGACTAACATACATGTACCACATATTGACATTTTAGTTTGTCAGCTTACAAATATATAGGATTAGGGTTTGCACTCCAAAACACTAGGCATTGATTTAAGCGATTAACTCAAAGCTGTAGTTAACATTATAAGTTGGATGGCAATGGATGCCAAGTGCCAGCTGTTATCTTTTTGTTTGAATTAATTTCATTTAGTAGGGTCAAGTACATTTACCTATATATACATACATATGTATATTAGACATGCACCTCAAATGTTAATATGAGTGTATTCATTATATGTATTACAACTGTAACAGAAATCCTGTGAAGCAGACAGTCAAAGGAGGGTCATTTATAGATGTGGACAGTTCTGGCCTGTCTTCTGATGCCCTAGATCTCCCTTCACAGCAGCACCAGCTACGATTGTCATTCAGTGCATTTGATCAATCTCCAAAACTATCTCCAAGGGAGGTAACTGAGAGTAGATCTTTGCAAAATGCAGCTAAGACACATGAACCACTTGAAACATGGTCTGGTTTGGAACAGTTTCCCGAGTAAGTTTGTGGTTTACCTTTTACAACATCAGTTTTTGTACAAATAATATAATGCAGTATTTACATGTTTGTTATACTTAACTATGGCATGTAAACCCAACTTGTAGCAGACAAGATTGTTTACATTCTGCGATCCTTTTAATAACATGTATCTGTGACTTCTGATTTCATTGTGCATTTAAAACACATGTGAATTATAGAGTAAAATTTCAGAAGGAAATACTTTGAAGTAAAAATAGATCAAGATTCATTGTTTATTGGAAAGTATTTTCCTTAAAATATATCAGTATTTTTTTCTGCCAGGAAACAGTTTTGTTTCTATTCCAGACAATTGATTAACTAACAAATTTATCGCCTGTTTGATTACAGCATGAAAAAAGATTATGCTACTAGCAGAAACTCATCCTTAGGGCTGATACAGGTGGATGGCATGAGTGGTAAGTCATGATCTGCAGGCGGACAGTGTTGAGTGTAGGTCATCTGACTGATATGTCAACAATATTAGGGTAAGTCATGTGACTGAGAGGTAAACAATACCAGGGTAAGACATGTGACTTAGAGGTAAACAGTACCAGGGTAAGTCATGTGACTTAAAGGTTAACAATACCAGGATAAGACATGTGACTTAGAGGTAAACAATACCAGGGTAAGACATGTGACTTATATGTCAACAATACCAGGGTAAGACATGTGACTTAGAGGTAAACAATACCAGGGTAAGGCATGTGACTTAAAGGTTAACAATACCAGGATAAGACATGTGACTTAGAGGTAAACAGTACCAGGGTAAGACATGTGACTTAAAGGTTAACAATACCAGGGTAAGACATGTGGCTTAGAGGTAAACAGTTCCAGGGTAAGACATGTGACTTAGAGGTAAACAGTACCAGGGTAAGACATGTGACTTAGAGGTAAGCAATACCAGGGTAAGACATGTGACTTATATGTCAACAATACCAGGGTAAGACATGTGACTTAGAGGTAAACAATACCAGGGTAAGACATGTGACTTAAAGGTTAACAATACCAGGGTAAGTCATGTGACTTATATGTCAACAATACCAGGGTAAGACATGTGACTTAGAGGTAAACATAACCAGGGTAAGTCATGTGACTTAGAGGTAAACAGTACCAGGGTAAGACATGTGACTTAAAGGTAAACAATACCAGGGTAAGACATGTGACTTAAAGGTTAACAATACCAGGGTAAGTCATGTGACTTAGAGGTAAACAATACCAGGGTTGGACATGTGACAGAGGTAAACAATACCAGGGTAAGACATGTGACTTATATGTCAATAATACTATGGTAAGTCATGTGACTTAGAGGTAGACAAAACAAGTCAAAGTCATGTGTAAGAACCAAGGCTGGCTGAGGTTTTTATCCCAGACCATAAACCTAAGTATGGAATTCCGATACCCAATACCAACATAATAAGACACATATTTATCGTGTAAGACACATCGTACAGATAAGATAAACACCTCTAACATGTAATACATATATCTTGATTCTTGTACGAGTGTTCCACATACTGTTTGTGCACTCTAGATCTACATATGTAGAAGTGAGAAAACTTAATTACAACACTGACTTGTTATTACACTGTAAGAGTGGTTGGGTAGCTTACAACACTGACTTGTTATTACACTGTAAGGGTGGTTGGGTAGCTCTGTGGATAGCACACTCACCATTCCCCAGGACGGCCGGGATTAGGGTTAGGGACGTGAACAAGTATTGCCACACCATGTGTTTTCTACAGGTTCTCCAGTTGCTACATTCGCCTATCCCGGTTGAAACGGTACGTGTGGCGCAGAAATATTCCACGAATATCTATAAGCAGAGCTAAAAATGCACAGTTTCGGAGAATAAAGAACAGTGTATTAAGAATATTATGACCTTCTTTCATCCGTCTACTGAATTACGTAACGTGTCTTAAAAACTACGTGTGACTTGACATTGTTTTAGAAAGAAATAATGCAAACTGGCAATAGTCAGCATTTTAGTTTGGACCCTCAATCTACACGTGCCAAATTTTCCTAAGGTTAGCCTTGGTCCAGAGTTATGCCTGTCGTTTTCTTTACAGATTCAACCGTTTTAACCGGATACGCGAATGTACCCCATCTGTGCACTTTCATCCAGGCCAACAAAAGTGATCAATATGTTTGTTAGAATACCTTTTTTCATAATTATTGTCAAAGGAAATCAAATTGTTTTCTATTTTACTTAATTATTTATTCTTATCAAGTTTTGATTTTTATAATGCGGTGAAAACAAAGCATAAGTAATAGAACATAGTTTAGGAGTGTGTTTTTCCTACTTTTCGTTGGTTTTCTCCCCAGATTTATCAACCAGTGTGTTTGCTCTGCACACCTCACCTCAAGATGTTGTGGAGGAAGTGCAGCCTAGTCAAAGCCAGGGTAGCCAGAGATCCTCACAGAGGAATCACAGTGACAGTAGGAACAACTGGCTCCGTCCTGACATAGATACGGTCAAAAAGAAGCCTTCCCTAATGCCTGCCCCAGCCCCCCACGGGGAAGTCAGGCAGTCCCTGGTGTTTAGTGAGGCACTCCTAGGGGGCGACAATGATGCTGACGTCACAATTCCAGAGATACAGTTCATGGAAGATGAATTGAATCAACTGGATGCTGACTTCAGTTACTTTGATGAGGCTGATGGCTCTGGAAGTGATGAGGACACACCAGGTAAAAGGAGGAAAGGTAAGCTGTTGGTTTGTATTAACATTATGCTAGTACACATATTACAGCCCCAAATAAGACTAGTATCTTTACATGATAGATTAGGTATTGATTGTTAATCTACATGTACAGTGAAAAATAGCAATCACTGGTGAAACAAGTCATTCCTCTTTTTCTGTCGTCATCGCTACAGAACATTTGTACTTTATATTTTACTTAAAACAAGAACATGGCTAAGATGGGGAATAGAAACCTATAAATGTCCCCAATGATGAAGTTATTTGAATGGAGGATAGGAACACAGGTTGATCTTATATCGGATGTTGTTAACAACATTCAACACTGTCTGAAGAACAAGTGGCGGGCATGTAGACTAGCTTAGACATTTAGTTGTTATAGAATGATTTTGAAGCATTGCCTTAATTGTTGAACAAGAGGTGCAAATTATTTATTTTATACAAAAATCTTTTGATTATTTATGTGAAATTAATCATGTGTGTAGGATTTTCGTACTTGTTTTCTATATGATGATCTGATGTATCCTAGTCTTGTTATCCTGTGCACTGTTTGAGTTTTAGACAAGTTCACTGGTAAAAGTTCTGCCACGAATGTATTGATAACTAACCTTAGACAGTTTGTTTGTTAACACTAACAGTTCTTATGTTTCTGTTTTACTGACAAACAGGCACTAATGTTGGTGATGGAAAACTTGACACTAAATATTTACAACCTACTTCACCTCCTCATTCAGAAGGGGCTGACGGCAGGATGGACCCTTTTCCTAGTCTGAGCAAAGTGACTTTGTTTGAGGGTACGTCTTGGTCTGGTTGTTGCCAAGGTTCAAAACTAAACAGTATTGTTTATAACCAATTTTGACTTTATGTGCCTTTTTATCATGTTGTATGTTACTGGTTCACATGGTAGCCATACCCAATGAGCTGAAATGCTCATCAATTATTTGAGGAATGAACTCCGAGTTTATATTCAGAACCCTTTGAGGACTGATATATATTACACCAGAGGTTTTCATATTTGTAAAAGAAAAAGCTTGTGGCAATTTAAATAGGGATAACCTAATGTTTTTGTATCCTTTGTTTTGTGTCTTTGAGATCATCCAGAGCTATTTTCACTTTCTATTTTACTATTTATGTTATTGAGTCTGTTACTTGTTACGGTTCATTTTTGGTGTTCCAACTAGCTGAAAGTATTTCTTCTCGGGTCCCATTATACAATTTCACAACCCACCAACCATAAATGATCAATTTAAGTGCTCCCCCTCCATATAGATTGCTATTTGGAATAGCCCCTAATTCCTGAATTGATGTATAAACTCATGGTTCATGAATTGAAGAGACTTAAAAAATGTGTATACTGAAAAATTATATACATTTTGTTGTTAAATGAGGCCATTTTGGTTCAGATGGAGGTGGTACAGAAGACCTGGTTCCCACGGTAATAAGGAACCAGGATAGGAGAACAGATCCACATCAGACAGAAACAGGAGACGAACCTAGTGGCAGTGAGATAGATACTGAAGATGAATTGGAAATAGCAAGAAAGGTGAAAAGATATGTAGAAACGTCAGGTCATAAGAGCAAAACATAGTATGGTAACTTTTTCTGATCCATCCTCCTCCATTGTCATGCACGTCTCTCTGCCCCAATTATAAGTTTGCAAGAAGCATTCACAGCAAACGCCCAACTAAAACTCCTAAGAGTATAACTCCTCAACATTGAAGATGTACTTGGCAGTGTACTGAGTAGCACTGATACATTGTATCTCTTAACAGATTATATTCATCTCTCATAAAATCTTGCCTGACCTTGACCCCTCTATGTTGAGCAGACTATTGGTCAAGAGGAGAGGGAGCGGTCACACACTGTTGGACAGAGTCTGGAGCGAGAACTTGGGGCCAGTGATGCCAGGCCAGGTTTGTTTTTCAGCTAGATGTCAAAATAAGTGTTGTAGATGATAGGCAACTCAACTGATTAACTGGGAAGGCCATGTGGTCACAGTTTGGTAAGGCCATGTGATCACAGTTTGGGAAGGCCATGTGATCACAGTTTGGAAAGGCCATGAGATCACAGTTTGGGAAGGTCATGTGATCACAGTTTGGGAAGGCCTTGTGATCACAGTTAGGAAAGCCTCTCTTTTCAAGTGCTAATGATTGGCAGAACTTTATTCATCACAAATGTTTTACAATGGCAATTTACTTTTGAGTCATGAGAGCTCATCAATGTTAAAACACTTTGATGTTTCCTGTTGTTCTTACTATATGTGTGTTACTTATACTTATTCAGGTGTGGAAGGAGTCAGTGTCGGAGAAAGCAGTACTGGACAAAAGCTGTCTATCATGATGCGTCAATCTGCCGAGGGTGATGTAGTTACCTCCCCTGTCCCTGGAGATGGTGGAGGAGGCGGGGACGGAAGCAGTGGTTCTGACAGGTACGTAGTATGTTAGTTGACGAAGCAGTGCTTCTGACCGATACGTAGTATGTAAGTTGACGAAGCAGTTGTTCTGACAAATACGTAGTATGTTAGTTGCCGCAGCAGTGGTTCTGACAGGTACTTAGTATGTTAGTTGATGAAGCAGTGGATCTGACAGGTACGTAGGATGTTAGTTGACGAAGCAGTGGTTCTGACTGGTACGTAGTATGTTAGTTGATGAAGCAGTGGATCTGACAGGTACATAGAATATTAGTTAATGAAGCAGTGGATCTGACAGGTACATAGAATATTAGTTAATGAAGCAGTGGATCTGACAGGTACGTAGGATGTTAGTTGACGAAGCAGTGGTTCTCACCGGTACGTAGTATGTTAGTTGACGAAGCAGTAGTTCTGACAGGTACGTAGAAGATTAGTTGACGAATCAGTTATTCTGACAGATACGTAGTATGTAAGTTGACGAAGCAGATACGTAGTATGTTAGTTGACGAAGCAGTAGTTCTGACAGGTATGTAGTATGTTAGTTGACGAAGCAGTGGTTCTGACAGGTACGTAGTATGTTAGTTGATGAAGCAGTGGTTCTGACAGGTACGTAGTATATTAGTTGACGAAGCAGTTGTTCTGACAAATACGTAGTATGTTAGTTGACGAAGCAGTGGTTCTGACAGGTACTTAGTATGTTAGTTGATGAAGCAGTGGATCTGACAGGTACTTAGTATGTTAGTTGACGAAGCAGTGATTCTGACAGGTACGTAGTATATTAGTTGACGAAGCAGTGGTTCTGACAGGTACGTAGACGATTAGTTGACAAAGCAGTGGATCTGACAGGTACGTAGAAGATTAGTTGACAAAGCAGTGGTTCTGACAGGTACGCAGTATGTTAATTGACGAAGCAGTGGTTCTGACAGGTACGTAGAAGATTAGTTGACGAAGCAGTGGATCTGACAGGTACATAGAATATTAGTTAATGAAGCAGTGGATCTGACAGGTACATAGAATATTAGTTAATGAAGCAGTGGATCTGACAGGTACATAGAATATTAGTTAATGAAGCAGTGGTTCTGAAAGGTACGTAGAAGATTAGTTGACGAAGCAGTGGATCTGACAGGTACGTAGTATGTTAGTTGACGAAGCAGTGGTTCTGACAGGTACGTAGTATGTTAGTTGACGAAGCAGTGGTTCTGACAGGTACGTAGAAGATTAGTTAATGAAACAGTGGTTCTGAAAGGTACGTAGAAGATTAGTTGACGAAGCAGTGGATCTGACAGGTACATAGAATATTAGTTAATGAAGCAGTGGATCTGACAGGTACATAGAATATTAGTTAATGAAGCAGTGGATCTGACAGGTACATAGAATATTAGTTAATGAAGCAGTGG